TTGGCCTCTGGACCCTGAAAGGGTTAAACAACCATAGTAACTTTAGACATCCCTGTTTAAGACCTATTTTTACTGGGAAGTAATCTCCCTCTCTCCTACACACCCCAACCTGAGCCTCACTCTCCTCATAAAAACTTGTTACAGCATTTAGTAAATTACTACCTACTCAATACACTTGCAACATCTTCCACATTGCTCCCCTATCCACTCTATCATATGCCTTTTCTAAATCCATAAATGCAATGAAAACTTCCCTACCTTTATCTAAATACTATTCACATATATTCTTCAATGTAAACACTTGATCTACACATCCCCTCCCCACTCTAAAGCCCCTTTGCTCATCTGCATTCCTACTCTCTGCCTTATCTCTAATTCTTTCAATAGTAACCCTACTGTACACTTTACCTGGTATAGTACTCAGTAAACTTATTCCCCTATAATTTTTACAATCTCTTTTGTCCCCCTTCCCTTTATATAAAAGAACTATGCATGCTCTCTGCCAATCCCTAGGTACCTTCCCCTCTTTCATACATTTATTAAACAAAAACACCAACCACTCTAACACTATATTCCCCCCTGCTTTTAACATTTCTGCCATGATCCCGTCAGTTCCAGCTGCTTTACCCCCCTTTCATTCTACGTAATATCTTACACACCTCCCCCACATTCACATCCTGCTTTTCTTCACTCCTAGAAGATGTCATACCTCCCTGGCCAGTGCATGAAATTACCACTTCCCTTTCTTCATCGACATTTAAAAGTTCTTCAAAATATCTTATATCACTTCTGATTTGTAAAAACCTCTCATAAACTACCTTTTTCTCTTTTATCACACCCTTTACTTCATCATTCCACCAATCACTCCTCTTTCGTCGTGCACCCACCCTCCTATAGCCACAAACTTCTGCCCCACATTCTAATACTGCATTTTTAAAACTATCCCATCCCTCTTGAAACCCCCCTCCCACTACCCATACTTGCATTAGTCCACCTTTCTGCCAATAGTTGCTTATATCTCACCCTAACTTCCTCCTCCCTTAGTTTATACACTCACCTCTCTCTTAGTTGCTATTGCCATTTTCCTTTTGTCCCATCTACAACTAAATAATGATCCGGTATATCCGTTGCCCCTTTATAAACATGAACATCCTGAAGCCTACCCATCAACTTTTTATCCACCAATACATAATCTAACAAACTTTCATTACATACTGTATCACACCTTGTATACTTATCCTCTTTTTCATAAAATATGTATTACTTATTACCAAACTTCTTTCTACACATAGTTCAATTTCAGGCTCCCATTTTCATTTACCCCTGGCACCCCAAATTTACCTACTACTCCCTCCACAACATTTTTACCTACTTTAGCATTAAGATCCCCAACCACAAGTACTCTCTCACTTGGTTCAACACTCCCCACACACTCACTCAACATTTCCCAAAATCTCTCTCTCCTCCACACTTCTCTTCCCCAGGTGCATAAACACTTACTATAACCCACTTTTCACATCTAGCCCTTATTTTACTCCACATAATCCTTGAATTTATACATTTATATTCCCTCTTTTCCTGCCATAACTTATCTTTCAACATTATTGCTACTCCTTCCTTAGCTCTAACTCTATTAGAACTCCCTGACCTAATCCCATTTATTTCTCCCCACTGAAACTCTCCTACCCCCTTCAGCTTTGTTTCACTTAAAGCCAGGACATCCAGCTTCTTTTCATTCATAACATCCAAAATCATCTCTTTCTTATCATCCACACACATTCAAACCTCCCACATATGGTAAGAAAATAGGCTTTCAGGTAGTATGTTTTTTTAGGAGGTAAGTGAGAAGACATATTAATTATACTATTAGTATCTTCTAGTATGTGGCAAGGCCATTTGGATGAGTGCTTTGAGCCCCCTCTATCCTGCAATATATGAGTGCTCTGAGAGTTGACATTGATACTTGAGAGAAACCAGGATCAAGGTCAAGCAGAGAGAAATTTTGCCAGGGTAAACGAGGAATTGCATGATACAGTAGCCCCCCAAAAAAATCCAAAAATTACTTTCTAAATTTGGGGGAACCTAAAATATACTGCAGGAGTTCCATCCAATTAAGAAAGATGTATTTTTAAAGACTTCGGGAATCTTGAAATTTTTTTGCGATACGTTTTGATGTGCTGCTGGAGTGTGAGCAAGGTAACATTTATAAAGGGATTCAAGAAAGACAGCTAGCCAGACTTGAGTCACAGAGATAGGAAGTAAAGTGCCTGCACTTAGGAGGGATTGGGATATTAGTTTGGAAGGCACTGCAGACTTCTGCAGGGCCTTCCAAACTGCAGACTTCTGGCAAGACACCTATTGATTGAGTGATGATGAATGTTTCTTTTTTTAAGGGGAAGGGGTCACCCTACTTTGGTGGGATATGACCAATGTTAAGAAATTTTACTGGCAGTTAAACTTTTCTGAAAATTCCATGGCTGGTTTTGCCTCTTCTATTTGTTTTTAGGACTTATTTCTTTAAATACTGCTTTAATCTGGTTAATATTTATATTCATAAGAACAAATAAAATCTTATGCCTAGTTTTTTACTTTAAGAGTAGTGCACCAGAATACCCCCCAACCCCCCCAAAAAAGGGCATCATATAAAAGAAAAAGGTCCACATTTCATGACCCATTCATGCTAAATAATTAAGTGCATACCCACCACACACACAAAACATACACACACACACATACAATGCACATGCATGCATGCATGCACACACACACACTCCAAAAAAAAGTTATACAAAAAATGAACGAATCTCAAAAAGTAACATTAAAAACATCTCATACAATAACTAGAAAAACTACAAAATAATATTACAGTGAACCCAGTCCATGAAATGAAAATGACCCTGTTTCTTTAAGTATTGTTTAAATTAATTTTCCTAAGAATTCTGAATGAAATTGATATAGGAGCTAAATTTAGGATGAGATACAGTAGACGGTTGCTTAATACAGTAGTTACGTTTGTGAAAATGCTGTTTTAGTTAAAACGTGTTAGACAAACTGAGGAACTTATAGGAAAAATAGGGTTACATTCCTGGGAGCTCCAAAAAAGCCAAAACTTTTTTTTAGACCTCCAGATCTTACAAAAATAAAAGTGAATATATAATTGTAGTTCACTGTCACGATGTATTATACTGTTTTTACTGCTTAAGATTACAAATGCAACAGAAATAGTAGTATTTACCTTAAATTGTGGGTGCTGGTGTTTGTGGATGATTGTGGAGAGTTATGCTGTGGCCCTACTGGACTGAGGTGGATGGTAGAGGTTCTGGTACTGAAGATGATGGTTGTACTGGAGTGTGAATAAATACAGTAATGGATTTCTGTTCTATTTTACCCCGCAGTACATTATTCAACTGACGGTAAGGCATCAGCTGCTCTAGACACCATTTCAGGGTCCTCTTCAATGTAAAGGTCTAAATTTAAGTCAGTAAATCAGTCAAGTAAGTCAGTCAGTCAAATCAGTCAAGTCAGTCAGTCATTCAAAAAGTCAGTAAATCAGTCAAGTCTGTCAGTAAGTAAAGCAGTCAGTCAGTCATCACACAGACTCATATTTACCTCATTCTTTTTATGTCCACAGAGTGATGCTTCATCACGGCCACAGGCTATCTTTTGTCTAATACATATCTCTATTTTCTTCATTAATTCTAAGACTTAAATGCTTAACCCTTTGAGGGTTTCAGCTGTACTAGTATGGCTTACGACCCAGGGTTTTTGACGTACTAGTATGCCTAAATTCTAGCGCCCTCAAATCTAGTGGGAGAAAGCTGGTAGGCCTACATATGAAAGAATGGGTCTATGTGGTCAGTGTGCACAGTATAAAAAAAATCCTGCAGCACACAGTGCATAATGAGAAAAAAAAAAACTTTGACCATTTTTTTGGGATAAAACAGCGACTTTGCACTGTATTTTCGTATGGTATTTATTGTTGTATTCTAGTTTTCTTGGTCTCATTTTATAGAATGGAAGACATATTACAGAAATTGAGATGATTTTGACTGGTTTTACAATGAAAAGTACCTTGAAATTAAGCTCCAAGTAGCAGAAATGTTCGATTTTTACCAAAGTTCAAAAGTAAGCAAATCATGCCAAGCGTCCAATACACATCAACTGGTGAGTCTAATATTCTTTCGCAAGTGCGCCAATATTATTTATACCATTTTTTACACTAATGCAGTAGTCTGCATAACAGTAAATCTTCTCTTTTTTGTGAGAATAAAAATTCAAAGTGGAAAGCAATCAATCAGTCAATCATCACATAAACTCATATCTGAGTCATTCTTTTTGTGTACAAAATGATGCTTCATTCCCGTTACAGGCTATCCCTTGTCTAATATCTCTATTTTCTTCGTTAATTCTAAGACTTAAACGCAACTTTCAGAAATACTTGTATGCCTACTGGGTGCCATGATTGCTTGGCAGATTTAAGATATGGCGATTAATACTTATCTAAACAAACACAGCGAGCTACTGGCACAGGTTTGTCCAACACATGTATGAACCGAACTGAAGGCTGGGAGGGTGGTGGGGGTGGCTGATGCTGGCGGGGGATGGCAGTAGGTCTCCCCCGTTGATTCAATGATGTAACCCACAGCCCATCCCGCCCCACGGGCGACCGCGCACTCAAAATTTTTTTCCCTCCCTTAACTGTGTTAAATTAATTTTACGAAGTGTTAAACAAGAATATGCCGCAATTCTTTAAGTGTGCTATAACCATAACGTGTCAGACAAAACCGTGTTAAATGATGGTCTACTGTATATGTCTCTGAATGTCATTCTAATCTGGTTAACAATGATGTTCATAAAGAACAAAAAAAAAAAAAAATACAGATTTGGGAATGGGAAATCCAATGAGCAGATTTTGAAGGTATTGCTATGGTTAGTTTTCAATTTAGGGGTTGCATGTCATGGCAAAGAAAAAGCAGCAACCCCCCCCCCCCCCAAAAAAAAAAAAATGGTGAATAATTGAGGCAACCAGTAAGATGTACTTTAATAAAACAGTTAATAACATAATCTCGGAATCACAAAGCTTGCAAATTTCAAGGCTCGATTGCACAATATGTTTTTTTTTCAAAGCCTCTGAATGCTTAAGAATGAGGATGCTCTAAGTTATAAGTTTTCTGGCCTAATGAATACCTTCCAGCCAGGCTTTTCTTCTCTTCTAAGACATAAATCATTCAATATTTACAAATTATTGTAATGTCATGAATTAGAAAGCTGGATACAAAAACAAAAACTAAGAAATTATAATAAATACAAGAAATAGAAGTTTATGTTTTTAAACATCAACAAAAATAAACTATACGGAAGAAAACTACAGTACTGTACTATATTACATGTACTAAATAACTCCTTTTCACTATTTACAGATTAAGCTTGTGACTAAATGTGTGATGAGCATTAAAGAGTGGTGTCTGAGTCATGAGCTTTAACAGCTCTGGTGAGTGGTCTGTTCCACAGGTTTAACAAACTGTAAAAAAAAAAAAAAGGTCACATTATCTGTCATTGATGGCAGTCTGGTGAACAAGAAGTTGTTCACCAAATGCATTACAATGCAAACAAAAACCTAGTCTCAAATCCTGCTTCTAATCAGTAAAATCATACAGTTTATCAAATCAAGCTACTGTACTACAATAATCACAAAGTACAGTATTTAAGAAAGAAATTAATGGGCAGACTGAAACAAAAATGGTTGAAGTTAAACTATTAAAATGGAGACGAGATATTCAATTGAAAGGAAAGTAGTAACAGTGACAAGTAAAAATTTTCACAAAGGAAAATGTCCTCAGACAAGACCTGCAATGACCAATACGTGCCCAGTTTATGTATTTCTAATTTCACATATATAAATGACTAACCAGGAGCAAAAACTACAGTATATGAACACATTTACTGATAATGCAAAAATCTTAAAAAAATAAAAGTAATAAAAAATTTTGCATGTAAAGCAATGTAGGAAAACTTAGGTAAATGAGCAAATGGAGTTTAATATAAGTTAGTCTCAAGTATACGATGGAAATGGATTAAAGAAAGACACTGGCCATGCAAAGAATAAAGGTCGTGTGATAAAATATTGAAAGAAAGAGAGGAATCTAAGAGTTATTTTATACAAGAGTTGCAATGTCTCGAGTGGTTTACAAATAAAAAGCTTAACGGTGGGCAAAGGAAACTGCTCTGAATACACCTCACTTTTGTAAAAAGCTGCTGGGAATGCAGACATTACAGAAGCAGTAATGTTCTCTAGTGTCTCCATCTCTTAAGATATCTTGAACCATATTTGCAACAGACTGTAAAGGGTCAACACAGTAATAAAAGAGGGTACAGCAAAACAACAACTGTATTGTTATTAATATCCAAAAGAGTCAGGGTGTGCCCCACTTTGTTGGGTAGCGAGAAAGAACTTCCAATTCTGCCATGATAGTCAGGACAGAAAAGGGGTGGGAAGGACCAACAGCTGAATATATGGAAGTGCATTAGGTGTGTCTAGAAAAAAGACCAGGTAATGGTTTTTGTACAGGGACAGAAGTGTAACATGATAGGAGTCAAGACAATGGGTTCTGGAAGAACACAAGATAGTTTGAAGGTAGTCACCAAGAAAGGTAGCAGTGGGTCGTAGAGCCAGACAGGTATTAGGCAACTAAATAAGAATAGCAGCTACACACTATGTTGGATGGCCAAACTGTCAGCAATCTCAGCACTACCGATGAATTGGTAGTAACTGTCAGCTGCCAACCACCACACTGACCCTCTATGGAAAAGTACAGGATTTTTATGTACAGTAATTTATCCACATTGCTTAGATGGCAGCGGCAACCAGGAGTGGGTGAGATGAATGCATTCCTTCTGGAGACAGAAAGGCATTGAAGCTAAAGTTCACTGCACACTTCTTAAAGGATTGTTTGAGGAAGACCATCAAGCAGCATGGATTCCGTTGGGCATGAAGACAGCGATGGATGTGCCTGATACTGCCTGAAGTGTGAAGACAACATTATTAGTTATATTTATAGAGAGGTACTGAACATGATGGTCATACAGCAGTAATCTAGGCAATGGGAGAGGTGGGAAATTATAAGTTTTGATCCAATGGGAGGATATCTCTAATTCCCTGGATCAAAGCAGCATCATGGTACCTCCCCTTAATCCTTTAACTGTCATGAGCTCTGACATTAAATTTTATTCTAAATAGAATAAAACATGAAAATCAAACAAAAACTTACTGTTTTATGTGCTGAAGTTCGTGAACAATTATTTCTCCATAGTAGCACTAACATTAGTTCGATAAGCAGTGATGAAATTTTTTAATTTTTCTAAACCACATGAAAATTGTTTTCATGTGGAAAATAGGCATAGCACATTGCACCATATCCACAATTTCAACATTCAATACAAATTTTTACAAATACTGTATATACGTAGAGTATTTTGTCTTCCTTCTAATGATTGTTTTTGTCTTCCAACATTATGTAAAGGGAATTATTAAGATACTACAATTTTTTTCAAGACATGATATTCCTTGAAACATGGAACAGGGCACAGTGGAACATCACACAACTCACAGCGATACTGTGTATATCTGCACTTTCTTGATTTTTTGGCTGTGTGCTGACACAAATAGCATCTTTTCTGTACTTTCTTCTTTCCTGCATGAGAAATACTTACACAGAAGTGCCCATCAGTCTTTAGCTGAAATGGATAATTTTCATTACTATGGTGGTGACCTGTTGATGATGGGGAGGCCTTGTGGTATGTTTCTATCATCTGTCTTATGACAGATGAATGGAAGTCACGTAGTTTTGGTTTCTTTCCCGTCTTAACATGGAACATATTATATGCATTTAGCATTGCAACATCTAAGAGATGTAAAAACAGTTTCATATACCACTTGCACTTTCTTCTGACACAATCCGCAGACACAGTCTGCATGTCTGATTTGCCAACCGAATGCATACTGTTGGTGTAATCGATGACTGCAAGTGGTTTCTCAATAGATTCATTTGTGTAGCTATTTGCCTCTTCAGTTTCACTCATTTCATGCCCAGGTGTGGTTGTCAACAATGTTATATCTCGCTTATCATGCCACCGAAATGCCATCATGTTACTGGTATGAAATACCTGCACTTCATTTGGTCTCACTGTCTCAAATATTTCCGTATTGTTTACCCGTAAGTAATCACAAAGTGAGGGGCTTATATACCAGTTATTTGTAAATATAGTATGACCTTTTCCAAGATATGGTTCAATCATTTTCCTAACAACAGAACCAGAGATTCCTAAAATGTCACTTGTATTTGTATTTTCTACAGTTTTCTTGCCTGCATAGACAATAATGTCTAACACTAGACCTGTTTGACAATCACACATAACAAACACTTTTATATCACTGCGATGTTTATTGCTAGGTATACAATGTTTGACTGAAAGCCTACCTTTGAATAAAATCGACGACTCGTTAATAACAATGTTCTTGAAGGGATAAAAGAACTCACTAAATTTCTGTTTCAGGTACACAGTCACTTCTCTGATTTTGTATAGCAAATCATCTCTCTGGGGATTACTTTTGTCAGAGAAATGCAACATACGCAGTAGCAGAAGAAATCTATCAAGTGACATTATTTCTCTGAAAGCTGGTGTAGCTATAAGTTTATTTATACTCCAATATTTTGAAATACTCGTTTTACGAATATGTGACATTAGCATTAGTGTTGCAAAGAAAAGATACATCTCTGCAACAGTAGTATCTTTCCACTGTCGAAGCTGAGATTTTGCTGAAACCGCATTAGCCAAAGTGTGCTGGTAATAACTATTTGTCCGAGTCACAATAATCTTCATAAGTGTCTCATCAAAAAATAATTGGAAATAATCAAGTTCAATTGAATCATTTGTTACTGGACAATTTGGCAGAATTCCACTCTTAGTTGCATCAAACTGTAATGAATCTGGAAACAATAAGGCATCTTTCTGCCAGTTCCAAACCCTGTCCACTGGCGGTTGCACAATATTCAGTGTTGGCACGGTAGATACTGGCACAGTAGATGGTTGCACGGCAGCTGCTGGCGCAGTAGATGGTGGCACGGCAGCTGCTGGCACAGTAGATGGTGGCACGGCAGCTGCTGGCACAGTAGATGGTGGCACGGCAGCTGCTGGCACAGTAGATGGTGGCACGGCAGCTGCTGGCACAGTAGATGGTGGCACGGCAGCTGCTGGCACAGTAGATGGTGGCAAGGCAGCTGTTGGCACAGCAGATGGTGTCATGGAAGGTGCTGTCACCATGGCAGATGTTGGCACGGCAGCTGTTAGTTGCACTGAGTGTGGTCTACAACTAAGACCAATATCTACACAATTATTTTCACCACTACTGTCACTAATATCTTGTAAAGCAGCAGCACTAGACCGTGTGCGGCGACGAACATAGTTTCGTTGTAGTGGCGAAAAAAGCAGCATCGCTATCACTTGATTCGGCACTTTCCACCCTATACACAAAAGCATATTTTTCTTCTTCACTGTCTTCACTTAAACTGCTCCAATCACTGTCATCTTGACGAGTACAGACCTTTTTTCTCCGCGGTCCTTGGTTACCCAGGCCTGACGTTGACGCCACACCAATATCTTGCGTGGGACAGCTAGTATTGTCATTCCTGGTGTCCAACACACTCTCTGTTTCTTCATAATCTGAGAAATCAACTTCAGAATAACTTTCATCGCTGGTACAGGCGTCTCCTTCCATCAAAATCCGCTTTATTTCATAAGGAGTGAGTTCCCTGTAAGGGCGCGCCATTGTCATTCTTGTTGTTGGGTTTATAAGGGCTACTGACAGCTTACACCGTATTGAGCCCTGTTGGTGACACAGTTATGCGGAGCATTTCGGGCAAGCTTAAGTAAGTTTATTCAGGTATACACAAATACAGTTACATAGATTATCATACATAGCAGGATATGTGTAGAGAACCTAGGATAACCCAAAAAAGTCAGACAGAGTGACTTTTTTTCCATTGGGGTCCTTTTACCTTATTATTATAATAAAAAGATTATATCTTATTATTATTCTATAATGAAGATAACATCTTATTATCATACTAAAAAGACTATCTACTACACGAGGGTCATTAAGGCTATCTACAATACGGTCATTACTAGGAATAAGATAAAATTTACACGTGTGTTAGCTAAAAAAAATAAATCATTCCCCCCTTTCTGTAGCTACATTCATCAGACACCTTTTGGCACTCCTTTTGAACTGGTTCATACTATGACTGGCTTTGACATGTGCTGGCAGTCTGTTCCATTCCTTTATTTCTGTACAATAAAAGGTGTTTGAAGCCTGGCCACTGATTGTGGGTACTACAAAGTTGTGCTCTCTCCCCCTAGTACTATGATTGCTTTGGTTCCCAACCTTGACAAAAATGGCAGCAAGATATTCTGGACACTGTTTGTGAGCAATTTTATAAACGTGATTTAGCTTCAGTTGTTTTACTCTGTCTTCAATATTCAGCATATCCAACTGCTGTAATTCATTCTGGCCTTCATGCTCTCTTGGACCCAGGCCCAGGATGAATCTTACAATTTTGTTCTGGGCGATTTGCAGTTTATCTTTCAGTTTTTTTTGTCAAGGCAGAGAACCATGAAGAGCAAGTGTAAGCCATATGACACTGTATAAGGGCTAGACATAGGGTCCTGCGAGCCTCAGTAGGTAGACACTGTGCTTGTCTGTAGAGGAACTTAAGTCTGGCATTCGCTTTCTATACAACACTGTTCCCTATCAATTCTCCTTACATGTATGAGTCAAAGGGGATTCCCAGATATTTTACTGAGGAAACCGAAGTGATGGACTCCCCATTACACTGGCCATTAAAATTATTACCCTTCTCAGTTTATGTTTCGTGCTAAAGAGAATGGCTTCAGTTTTCCCGAGGTGTAATCTTTAGTTTGTTGTCTACTAACCATCTGCTGCAGAACTCCAGTTCCAGTGTTAATACATTAGCTATATCTTGGGGGTTTCTTTACACTCCTACTGTATGCAAATGACAGAGCACTGTCATCTGCATACAGACGGAGTTTGCACTTGACACTGATAGGCATGTCATTAATATAGCATAAGAATAATAAGGGACCCAGAATACTACCTTGGGGAACTCCACATGCTATCGGCAGGGGTTCTGATTCCGTTTTGTTGATTTTGACAATTTGTCTCATGTTGCTAGAGTAGGACTTAAATCAGTCTACAGAACCTATACCGATAGCTTGAAGTTTCTTACATAATACATTGTGGTTGAGAGTATCGAAGGCCTTTTGCAAGGTTCCCCTTTGACATTTCAGTTCTCAAGTAATCCATCAGATTAATTACGGAGGTGTCGGTTGAGTAAGATACCTCACACAAACATCCCAAATTTCAGTGAGAAATTAAAGTCACTAATAACAAACAGACAAATGAATAAGCACCACCTTCTCTTAGCTGGAGACTTCAACATCAACCTTGGCTTACTAGATGATCAGCCTGTAACGGATTTCATCAACAATATGAACAACACACTTCTCATACCAACAATAACTAAACCAACCAGGCTCACTGAGACAAGTGAAACCATAGTAGACCACATATGGACCAATATACTAGCCCCCCTTAAATCAGGGATAATCACAGATAGCACTACAGACCACTACCCTACCTTCCTCCTGACAAACATTAGTAAACCACCACTTGAATACAACAAAGTCTCATTTAGACTCCATGACGAGGCCTCAGTAAGGAAGTTCACAGCTGACCTAGAGACTGTTGATTGGCCTACAGAATTCTCCAAGGCCAATGGTATTGATGACTGGACAGACATCTTTCTTAACAAATTACTTAGACTATACAACAAACATTGTCCTATAAAAACAAAACAGATCACAAACAAATGGCTTGGTTGCCCATGGCTAACCAGCACCATTCTGAAATCCATTGACAAGAAACACCAATATGAAAAGCAATATAGACAGGGCTTAATACACAAAGATACTCTTAAACACTATTCATCAGCTCTCACCAAAGTAATAAAAAAAGCCAAACAACTATACTACTCAGTAGATTCACAGACACTAGAGGAGATATAAAAAAGACCTGGAAAACACTCTCTCAGATTCTAGGGACCCACAAACTGAGAAAAACCAAGAATATTGTCCTAACTAAACCTAATGAAACACCACTACATCCCACAGACACAGCTAACAAGATAAACGACTTCTTCTCAAACATAGGATATAATCTCGCCAGTAAAATCCCACATACCAATGCCCATGCCGGGGACTACCTAGATGGAAATTTCCCTAATTCCTTCTATCTTGCACCAACTGAGCCCACGGAAGTCAATGAGATCATAAAGTCACTTAAAAATAACTCGGGGAATCTGTCTCATGTCCCACCATTACTGTACAAGCGAGCGGCCCATGTCCTTTCGCATGCTATTTCATTACTTTTAACAAGTCAATAGAGACTAGCACCTTCCCGAAAACTACTCAAGATGGCAAGGGTTACACCAATACATAAAGGTGGTGACCCTACAGACTTAAACAACTATAGGCCAATATCTAATTTACCATTGCTATCCAAAATCTTTGAGAAACTCGTGCACAGGAGACTGTATTCATTTATAACGGCTCAAAACATACTCAACCCCTGCCAGTTTGGATTCAGGAAAATAAAAGCACTAATGATGCAATCATAAAAATGCTAGATCTGCTTTACACAGCATTGGAAAATAAGGAATATCCATTAGGAATTTTTATTGACCTAAGAAAAGCTTTTGACACAGTAAACCACGAAATCCTACTCCACAAACTTGACCACTACGGTATAAGAGGCCATGCGCTTGCTTATTTCAAATCTTACATTACTAATAGGTATCAGTACGTCACCATTAAAGACACAGCATCAGCAACACGGCCACTTGATACTGGAGTTCCGCAGGGAAGTGTCCTTGGTCCCCTGCTCTTCCTCATATACATCAATGACCTTCCAAACGTATCCCAACACCTGAAAACCCATTCTCTTTGCTGATGACACGACTTATGTCATCTCTCACCTAATCTTGCCACCCTCAACACCATGTGAATGAGGAGCTGATTAAAATATCGACTTGGATGACAGCCAATAAACTTACGCTTAACACTGACAAAACTTACCATATTATGTTTGGTAGCAGAGCAGGAGATGCACAAATTAACATTAAGATTGACAACACTCTAATTACCAGAAATAATGGGGGAAAATTCCTAGGCTTATACCTTGACAACAACCTGAATTTCAGCACCCATATCCAGCATATAGCCAAAAAAGTATCCAAAACGGTTGGGATCCTCTCCAAGATACGATACTACGTGCCGCAAAATGCCCTTCTCACACTATACCACTCACTTATCTATCCATATCTCACCTATGCTATTTGTGCTTGGGGATCAACTGCAGCAACACACCTAAAGCCAATAATAACCCAACAAAAAGCTGCAGTAAGAATAATCACTAAATCCCATCCCTGGCAGCACACCCCCCCCACTCTTCAAAGATCTAAACTTACTCCCAGTTCAGTACATCCACACTTACTACTGTGCAATCTATATCTACAGGGCCTTAAACTCTAATATCAACCTTGACCTAAAACGCTTTCTTGATAGTTGTGACAGAACCCACAGGCATAACACCAGAAACAAACATCTCTACGACATTCCCCGTGTCCGACTAAACCTTTACAAAAATTCAATGTATGTCAAAGGCCCCTAAAATCTGGAATACCTGCCTGAGAACTCTAGAACTGCAGAAAATTCATCACCTTCAAAATACCATTAGAAAACATCTTATCTCCCTGATACACCCTGTCAACTAACTACACGAATACCACCTGGTGGTTCACACTTACACTCGCTCACTCATTGGACCATAAACAGAAATATTAATCTCAGTCTTAAAATAATGAATCCTGTGATACTCCAATACTGAAACTATATACTGTGCCAAAACAAAAGCATTCACATTGCTAAACTCACAAACTAGTATTTAGTCACTTAGCCATAATACCAACTTACCTCATAATTTGTAATATTTTACAATTAAGAATAAAACTAAGTATGCCCGAAATGCCTAGCCATGCTAAGCGTTCTAGTGGTACACTCTGTAATCACAATTTTACTACATGTAAACCAAACAATAACCAAATTTCTGTAAACTCAGCATTGTAATCCTTATAGAGAATAAACTTTGAATTTGAATTTGAATTTGAATCTAAAGCCCGACTGACAGCTATAGAGAATGTTTACCTGGACCTGGAGTTTACCTGGAGAGAGTTCCGGGGGTCAACGCCCCCGCGGCCCGGTCTGAGACCAGGCCTCCTGGTGGATCAGAGCCTGATCAACCAGGCTGTTGCTGCTGGCTGCACGCAAACCAACATACGAGCCACAGCCCGGCTGATCCGGAACTGACTTTAGGTGCTTGTCCAGTGCCAGCTTGAAGACTGCCAGGGGTCTGTTGGTAATCCCCCTTATGTGTGCTGGGAGGCAGTTGAACAGTCTCGGGCCCCTGACACTTATTGTATGGTCTCTTAACGTGCTAGTGACACCCCTGCTTTTCATTGGGGGGATGGTGCATCGTCTGCCAAGTCTTTTGCTTTCGTAATGAGTGATTTTCGTGTGCAAGTTCGGTACTAGTCCCTCTAGGATTTTCCAGGTGTATATAATCATGTATCTCTCCCTCCTGCGTTCCAGGGAATACAGGTTTAGGAACCTCAAGCGCTCCCAATAATTGAGGTGTTTTATCTCCGTTATGCGCGCCGTGAAAGTTCTCTGTACATTTTCTAGGTCGGCAATTTCACCTGCCTTGAAAGGTGCTGTTAGTGTGCAGCAATATTCCAGCCTAGATAGAACAAGTGACCTGAAGAGTGTCATCATGGGCTTGGCCTCCCTAGTTTTGAAGGTTTCTCATTATCCATCCTGTCATTTTTTCTAGCAGATGCGATTGATACAATGTTATGGTCCTTGAAGGTGAGATCCTCCGACATGATCACTCCCAGGTCTTTGACGTTGGTGTTTCGCTCTATTTTTGTGGCCAGA